TCTGGCGGGGCTGCTTTTACTCTCCAGTGATGCACCCACGCAGCTACTCCTGCTAATATCAGAGATGAGCGGTGGTCAGGAGAACTTCAAAAGCTCCCTCCCACTGAGGGGCCAGTTGATCTTCCAGGGGTTGATTCTTCCAGGTTTTCAACAGGACCTGATGTCCGATCTCAGGGTTGGAACCTGAGGAGGGGCGTCTTCTCATTATTTTAACAGTGTCTTTTGGAGAGTAGAAGTTTTAAATTTTGATGAAGTATTGATAGATTTTCAACAACATTGAGTAATCTCTGTAAGATTGCTTTAGAATTTGTTATGAATCATCTGTAAAAATTATTATCTTTGTGAGAAAACCAGAACTTTAATAAAAAGTTGATTTTTTTCTTTAGAAAGTATCTTGACCAAGAAAAATAAAAATTACTCTAGATAATAAATGCTTCCTTATTTAATTAGATGTCAGAAAGGAAACCATACTTTGCCTAGAGGTAATACTGAGCTGTTCTTCCACTCTAAGATGAGAAGGCACAATGGGAAGATTTATCACTGCTTAGGTTGCGTTTTTGTCTTCATGTGTATGAACTAACTGTGTGTCCTTCTTGTCTTTGTTTCTAAAAGGAGACTTGCCCCATTGTCTCAACAGCCTATGGAGTTATGAGTAAAAATATTTTGGGTGTATTACTCCAAGGTTTGTATAAGTGAGAAAATGGACACTTCTGCATAATTTCTTGTTCTGTTCCAGCACAGCTTGGCCAATGTCAATAGTCAGGGTTACACTTTGGATAATACTCTGCATTTTGTGCTGGTACCTATGCATAATGGTACTGGTGATGTGATGATAATTGTGTGAAGAGATAAACAGTCATAGCATAAGAGATTTTTTCCTCTGATTTGAACATTTCCCAATGTGTAACGGTACGGACAATTCCCAAGGAAATTTTTTTGAGAGGAGAAAGAGGGTTTCCTTACCTCTACTTCCTTAGTCAGATTAATTGATTTCTGTTTTTGTGGTGTATATCTGATATTTTTGCCTTCAAAACATTCCTTTTTCTTATAATAAAAGTATTCTGATTTCCATTTTGGGAACTAACTGCCTCTTCCTTATACTTATTCTATGTGTTTCAGACGCCTATGACTTCACTTGGCTTTAAGGGAGGAGACATCACAAAAGCCTGGCCTGTCGTAACACTGCATCCTCTTGGCCACAAAGATTGATTCAAGGTCAAGTATTTGATTCCTGTGACCATTGGAAGCCTTTTTAATGGCATTTGCTTCAGGTACCTGAAAGAGGTCCCCTGAATGTGCTAAATGGATAGAAATCTGGAGTTGTTGGTGACCGTGTTGCCACCACATAGGAAGGAGATTACTGAGATTGAAACTAACACGAAGAATGGTAGAGCTAAGTGGTGGATGGGATAGAGACAGTGTCTTTTGATGACATTTTTTGGAGACTCTAGACTTTGCCATTCTATTAAACTAGCTGTAACTTTCGAGCTCTATTTTTTTTTTTTTTAAATTTAAAACACTTTGGGTGGATTTTCTTATTTTAACTAAAAGAATTTTGACAAAACAATGTTCAAATAAAATTCAGCCCTTGACCTGGATGATTCTTATTACAAAGAGTTCTATTGTATTCTTGTTCTTAAAAATCTCTGATATACTTCCACTGAAAATATTTGTAGATTCTGGTTATAGGGCTTTTCAATCAGAGGTTCATTATTGTTTCGAATCCAAATATCCTAGAACTCTAAGTGAATTCAGCTATTTATGTTTCTTTCTGTGACGATTTTATTGTTTTGCTTTTCAGGTAAACTAGAAAATACGGATGGGGAGGAATTCATGCTTTGGGTCAGGGTACATTATAGGAAGTATTCAAGTTTGGTCTGGATCCTCACTTAGCAGGTCTGTAGAATCAACTGTGAACTCCTTGTGGTTGTCTGCACTGATTATCCTGTTTCTTGCCTTTGTGCCCTCACTTAGACTGTCTCCATTTTCCTTCCAATTCTCTGTGCTTGGTTTACTCCTAACCATATTTATTTATTTTTTTTTATTTTATTGTACTTTAAGTGAAAGTTTACAATTCAAGTTAGTCTCTCATACAAAAATTTATACATACATTTTTATGTGACCCTAGTTGCTCTCCCTATACTGTGACAGCACACTCATCCTTTCCACTCCAGATCTCTTGTGTCCATTCAAACAGCTCCTGTGCCTCTCTGCCTTCTCATCTCACCTCCGGATAGGAACTGTTCATTTTAGTTTCATGTATCTACTTGAGCTAAGAAGCACACTTCACGAGTATCATTTTATGTCCCATAGTCCAGTCTAATCTTTGACTGAAATGTTGGCCTTGGGAATTGTTTTCGTTTTGGGCTAACTGAGAGTCCAGGGGCCATGTCTTCCAGACTCCCTCCAGTCTCAATCAAACCATTAAGTCTGGTCATTTTACTAGAATTTGAGCTCTGCACCCCACTTTTCTCCTGCTCCATCAGGGACTGTCTGTTGTGTTCCCTGTCAGGGTGGTCATTGGTGGTAGCCAGACACCATCTAGTTCTTCTGGTCTTGGGCTGATGCAGTCTCTGTTTTCAGTCTCTGTTTTCAGTCTCTTGGGCTAATATTTTCCTTGTGTCTTTGGTATTCTTCATTCTTCTTTGCTCCAGGTGGGTTAAGACCAATTGATGCATCTTAGATGGCTGCTCGCTAGCTTTTAAGGCCCCAGATACTATCCACCAAAGTAGGATGCAGAACATTTTCTTAATAAACTTTGTTACGCCAATTGACCTAGATATCCCTTGAAACTATGGTCCCTAGACCCCTGCCCTTGCTACTCTGTCCCTCGAAGTGTTTGATTGTATTCAGAAAACTTAGCTTTGGTTTAGTCCAGTTGTGTTGACTTCCCCTTAGCATGTGCTGTCCTTCCCTTCACCTAAGATAATTCTTGTCTATTTTCTAGTTAGTGAATACCCCTCTCCCTTCCTCCCTACCTTCATAACCATCAAATAATGTTTTCTTCTGTGTTTAAACCTTTTCTTCAGTTCTTATAATAGCGGTCTTATACAACATTTGTCCTTTTGCGACTGACTAAATTCACTCAGCATGATGCCTTCCATATTCCTCCATGTTATATTTCATGGATTTATTGTTGCTCTTTATTGTTGCATAGTGATCCATTGTGTGTATATACCATAATTTGTTTATCCATTCATCTGTTGATGGACACCTAGTTGTTTCCATCTTTTAGCTATAGTGAACACTGCAGCAATGAACATGGGTGTGCATATATCTATTCTTGTGACAGCTCTTAATTCTCTAGGATATATTCCAAGGAGGGAGATTTCTGAATCGTACACTATTTCTATTTCTAGCTTTTTAAGGAAGTGCCAAATCGATTTCCAAAGTGGTTGTACCAGTTTACATTCCCACCAACAGTGTATAAGTGTTCCAGTCTCTCCACAACCTCTCCAACATTGATTACTTGGTGTTTTTTGGATTAATGCTATCCTTGCTGGAGTAAGATGATATCTCATTGTAGTTTTGCTCTGTATTTCTCTAATGGCTGATGATCGTGAGCATTTCCTCATGTGTCTGTTAGCCCCTGAATATCTTCTTTGGCGAAGTACCTATTCATATCCTTTGCCCATTTTTACTTGGGTTGTCTTTTTGTTGTTGAGATTTTGCAGTATCTTGTAGACTTTAGACATTAGACGCTGATCGGATTTGTCATAGCCAAAAGTTTTTTCCCAGTCTGTAGGTTGCCTTTTTACTCTTTTGGTGAAACCTTTGATGAGCATAAGTGTTTGATTTTTAGGAGCTCCCAGTTATCTAGTTTCTCTTCCAGTGTTTGTACATTGTTACTTATGGTTTGTATTCTGTTTCTGCCATGTATTAGGGCTCCTAGCATTGTCTATATTTTTTCTTCCATGATCTTTATAATTTTTGATTTTATATTTAGGTCTTTGTTCCATTTTTAGTTAGTTTTTGTGCATGGTGTGAGGTATGGGTCCAGTTTTTTGCAGATGGTTATCCAGTTATGCCAGCATCATTTGTTAAAGAGACTGTCTTTTCCCCAGTTAATGGACTTTGGGCCTTTGTCAAATATCAGCTGCTCATAGGTGGATGAATTTACATCTAGATTCTCAATTCTGTTCCATTGTTCTGTGTAGCTTTGTTGTACCAGTACCAGGCTGTTTTGACTACCGTGGCAGTATATTAGTTTCTAAACTCAGGTAATGTGAGGCCTCCCACTTTGTTCTTCTTCTTCAGTAGTGCTTTCCTTATCTGGGGCCTCTTCCCTTTCCATATGAAGTTGGTGGTTTGTTTCTCTATCTCATTAAAAAATGCTGTTGGAATTTGGATCGGGATTGCATTGTATCTGTAGATCAGTTTGGGTAGACTTGACATTGTCACAATGTTGAGTCTTCCTATCCATGAGCAAGGTATATTTTTCCACTTATGCAGGTCTTTTTTGGTTTCTTGCAGTAGGGTCTTGTAGTTTTCATTGTATAGGCCTTTGACATCTCTGGTTAATTTATTCCTAAGTATTTTATCTTCTAGGGAGCTATTGTAAATGGTGCTGATCTGGTGATTTCCTCTTTGTGGTTCTCTTTGTTGGTGTAGAGGAATCCAACTGATTTTTGTATGTTT